TCTTATCTGTGGTGCAAGACTGGGAACAGAATCCAGTAGCCAGCAAGCTCCCCACTGACTGAACCTTCCAGGACACCTCCCAGCACCTGCCAAAGGGCTGACTTCCTGTCAGAGGGGGGCGGGATGCTGGGAAGGGGTGCAGGTCAGGGATATGGCCACGTGGGTGGCTGTGTGCAGGGTTTCTTTTGGGCAGAGTTGGAGGCTGGAGTCATCAGGCCTCTGTAGGAGGCCGGAATTGGTGGATGAAAGAGGTCAGGGGTCAGGGGTCAGGGATCAGGGGCCAAGGGTGGGCTCTGGCGCCAGAGGGTCTGGGTACGAGATCCTAGCTTTGCTACTTGTGAGCCCTTGAATCCTGGGGAAGGGTGTTTTTAACTCAGTTTCTTCATCTGTAAATTGGGGGTGACGCTTCCCAGAGCTGCTAAGGCTGCAAATGAGTAAACCCCTGAGATGGCCAAGAACACGAGTGCCCGGCGGCCACCAGATGAGCTTCGATTATGATGATAAAATGTAATCAGGGGAAGCCAGGGAACGGATGTGAGTGCTGTGCCTTTTGTCCGGAAGGAAGAGATCTCAAACTGAGATTGAGAAATAACCCCCCATCCTGCTCCACCCCTGCCAATATCCATCTCCCTGAAGTCAGAGGACAAGGGGGCTCCCCATCCCTGGTGGCTTAATCCCGTGCTAATCGTGTCACGGGCCATCTGAGCTTTCCTCAGTATCAGAGAGAAACACCAGCTCCTTGCTTTGTGTCTGCAAGCAAGTGACACATTCACTGGCCTGGAACCAAATCCTCCAGGCAGGCGGCAAACGCAGTGAGAGAGCATGGCTCAGGTGCCCTCTGGATGGAGCTGGGCCGGCTTCCCTGTGTTGTTGTCCAGCTTGGAGCAGGTAAGCAGCAGGACTTGAGCTTTCTCCTTCAATTACGATGTGACCTCAGGAGACTTACAAGCCTCTCTAGGTGCCAGATTTAGCTATAAAGTGGAGAGGTGCTGGGTCTGAAGCAGGGGCGCCTTGTATTAAGTAAATAAGACAGACAGAAGAGAGAAAAAAGCATGGGGCCAGGGGTCTCACAGCCTCATGGACTGAGAGCCCCGATTCTCCATCACATTCCTTACATTCATAGGGTGAGCGAAGGCATCCGTTGACAAACATCTGCTGATCTGTGCTCACCTAACCAGGCTAAGCTAAGTCAACAGGAGCTACGTGATGGGCTGGGCTGGGCAGAGGAACTCCGGAACTGAGGGGCCATAGAGATTTGGGGCTGAGGGTCTGTCTTAGTCCCTTATCTCTAAAGAGTTTGCTCTGGGAGAGGTAGCAGAGATAAAAGTGTTTGGTGGAAGCTTTCTTCTCAACAACATTCCGGGGGAAGAAAGGTCCCATAAATCACTCTACCCAGGCCCTCTTCTCACTCTAAGTTTATTTATTTATTTATTTTAATTGAATCACTCTGAGATACAGTTAGAAAGTTGTTCATGCTGGGTTTCAGTCATACAATGTTCCAACACCATCCCTGCACCAGTGTACATTTCCCACCCACCACCAGTGTTGATGGTGGCCACTGTGGATGAATCAACTGTCCCCAGTGTCCCTTCTGCTATCCCCACCAGCCTGCCTCTGCAGCAGACACACTTCTTTCTCCCTCCCTCCACCTCTCTGTTTCCCTCTCTGTTTCTCTCCCTCCTCCTCTCCACTTGCTCTCTCTTTCCTTTTGAGCATTATGATTTCCAATACAGGTACCGTCAGGTTATCGTATATATCCGTTTACCTCCTGTCAGCACTCAGTTCTGGCCCAGAACGATCATTTCCAACTATCACTGTCATAGTGCTCCCTTCTCTACCCTAACTGCACTCCTAAGTTAATTTTTAAAAACCAAGTGTAATCATATTTATATGCAAGTAACATCGGACAGAGTGATGTCCATATCTCACAAGTGACCTGGGAATTGAGGACAAGATGCAGGTGAAAGGCCAGTGCCCAGTGCCCCCTGGGCCCCTTGGAAATGGAGGGTGCCACTGTTGATGAATCAAAGTTCCAGATACTGTGGTCACTAAAGGCATGGATGCGGGGCTCACATAGCCCAAGCTGTGCCCCCAACCCCCATTCTCCCCTCTCGCTGCTTGCTGTGATGTAGAGGCTGCTTGGCTGGAAGTGTCCACTTCATGGGAAAGGAACAAAGTGAGAGGAGGGGTTTAGGGGTTCGGCAAACAGTGAGCCCCTAAATTCACTATCTTCCTTGATATTATTCTAATAAGGGAGGCCGGGTGGGCCACACCTGTAGGCCCTCAGAAGGGAACCTGGTCTCAGCTGCAGCCTTGGGCTCCGGGGTTGTGGGATGTGATCTAAATCCTGAACATCTGAGAAGACAGTGTAGACTGCAGAATCAGGACATTTGGGGCAGGGAAGGAACACCACCATCTCCAAGGGTAGCTCTGGAAGTGAGAGGTACCGAGATCAGATGGGGGCCTCCGGCACTTTCCACTTGGTTGGCTGTGAATTTTGATATTTTTTGTTGTTGTTGTTGCTGTTTTATTGAACTCCACTGGATAATAATGTTCAGGACTTACTCCAGGTGGTGCTTAACCATATGTGGTGCTGGAGATAGAAACTGAGGTAGCCCATATAAGACATATGTCTTTTATTTTTTCTCTCTGGTTTTGTTGTTGTTGTTGTTGGGCCCACACCTGGCTGTACTCAGAGCTTACTTCTGGCTGTGTTCAGAAGGTTGGATTGGAGGAGCCATGTAGAGTGTTGGGGGATTGAACCTAACTGGCTGCATACAAGACAAGCAAGCATCCTACCTGTTGTACTATCTCTCTGACCCCCAAGGCAAGCACCTGATCCTTGTACTAGCTCTCTGGCCTCTTAATATTTATACTTAGTATTTGGGGTTTGAGGGCCACATTTGATAGAGCCCAGGGATTACTCCTGGCTCTGTGCTCAGGAGTGGCTCATGTTGGTGTTGAGGGGACCACACATGGTGCTGGGGATTTGAAACAGGCTGACGCAGACACAGCAAAGGTCAATGCCTTAGCTCCTGTACAAACTCTCCAGTTCACCGTATGTCCATTTGGTTTTATTTTGTTTTGTTTTCTGTTTGACGCCCACAGTGATGCTCAAAAGTTATTCCTGTCTCTGTACTCAGAAATTACTACTGGCAATGCTTAGGGAACCCTAGTGGATGCCAGGGATCGAAGCTGCATGCAAGGCAACACCTTAACCGCAGTACTATCACTCCAGCCCCATCTGGTCCATGAATCTTGATACTGGGTTTATAAGGTGTTGATTCTGAGAGAGCTTTCGAGAGACTGGCTGTGGCTCTAGTGCATCTACCTCGCCTGTGCGTTGGGCAGAGCTGCAGGGGATGGGGTGCATAGAACAGGGACAGTGTAGTTAGGAGCTTTGCCCTGCCGGGGCTGACACTCTGGTGGGTGAGGTACTGAGTAAGAGCAGAAGCAAGGCAGGGTGAGGTGCAAGGCCACCAGCAATCACGGGGATGGGAGACCAAGAAGCTGAGTTTGCGACTTGGAAACTGGCACTGTGACAGTTGTGATCCATGTGACAATCTGAGAGCAGAGCGGAGAGGAGAGAGCAAAGGCTTGGGTGTAGGAGCAAGCTGGATGTGGCTGAGAAGCACAGAAAATAGTTTAGCAAGACCCAGCTCCCACCTCGGTGGACCCAAAGTCCAGAGGCTCAGCTGAGTCTAAAGACTGATTCCCAGAGAGGGTGATTGCGAAGGATGAAGCACCAGCGTCTGGGAGAATGTAAGAGAGGAGCCAGCCTGTGAGACCAGGAAAGCTGTTTGGGGGAGGTGACCTCTAACCTAGGACCCAGATGACAGGTGACACTAGAGAAGAGGAAGCGTTTCCTAGCCGAGAGAGCCACGCGCCAAAGCCCAGAACTATTAGAGAGTCCAACAGATTCGTCTGAGGACCAGATTTCCAGGGGATGGCTGCGGTTCAACCCAGAGCTGAGCTCTTGGGGTGTCAGAACAGGACTGAGAATATCCCTGTTGCTTTTGAGATGGGCGAGGCTACACCCAGCGTTTTGGGCAGCTCTGATCACAGTATGGGTTGACAAGGGTCCTTCCTGGTGGGCAGCAGGGAGCAGTTCAATGCGGACAGGGAGGGAGATGACCCTTGGGAGATGGGGTGACATGAGCGCCCTGGAGAAGAGACCCGTAACAAAGCAGGCAGGAGGTTGCAGGATGATTCAGGCAAGAGATAGAGGTCTCAAGAACTCAGGAGAGCAAGAGACAAATATCTTCTGATTTGGGAGGTGGACACACTGGCAGGCTGGCCTGTCCACTGCTTAGCCCTATGAACAATCTCTTCCTTGCTCTGGAGAGATTCCTAGCCTCTTTGAACTCTCTCTTAGGGGCTTAGCGCTTCTTACCACAGAATTGTTGGGCACCTCCAAATTGAATCAGTTCCAGGGCTAGAGAGATAGCACAGCAGGTAGGGCATTTGCCTTGCACATGGCCGACCCAGATTCGATTCCCAGCATTCCATATGGTCCCCCGAGAACCGCCAGGAGTAATTCCTGAGTGCAGAGCCAGGAGTAACCCCTGTGCATCACCGGGTGTGACCCAAAAAGCAAAAACCAAACAAACAGACAAATTGAATCAGTCCCCTCAAGGGAGCTCTTTCCACCACTTCTACTTCCAACATCTGGCTGGCAGGGTGTGAGCCCCAAGCCCTCTCCTGGATCTGAGTGTTTCTCGGCCAGACCTCAACTCCTGCACCAAGTGCCAGGAGCTCCACTGTACCACTCAAACATGAGCATGTGAGAAAGCGCCTAGCACACGTGGCACCAGTTCATTTCCCTCTTGACCTGGTGGGTGCCCCTGCGCATTCTCTGTCACCCCTTCCCTGTCCACTGGGAGTGGGGGTGCCTGCCTGGAGGGGCTCTCTAGGGACAGGTGATGAGACTTTGCAGGTGGCACATACCCTGGAGTAAGGAAGGGGTCCAGGTTTCCTCATCCTCTCTTTCTCCCTTGCAGCAGCAGGAGCTGAGAGAATGGCGTGGCGCGGGCTGGTGCTAGCTGCTTGCCTCCTGCTTCTGCCCTGTGCCGCCGCGGACTGCCTGTCCCGGTGCTCCTCATGTGCTGTGAAGACCCAGAGTGACCCCAAACCCGTCAACCTCCTGGTAGGTTTCAGACCGGTCTCCCTGCCGGTGCTGGGGGCCGTGAGTGCCCAGTCCTGTGAGGGAAGATCTCTGGGCACCTGTGGGACTTAACTGAGACTCGGCCCCAGGGCCGGGGCATGGTCCTGGCTGCCTGGATGCTAAGGGCTGCTATTGGTCATCTCCATCCCAACCCGATCTCACTGCCTCCAGCCTGTTCCGGTGTAGGAGAGAGATTCCATTCCAGAGAGCCCGTGTCAGGTGATTAGGAGTGTCTGGATGAGGCGGTGCAGACTTGAGGAGTATTTTTAAAATTATTATTTTTTAATTGAATCGCAGTGAGATACATTGTTACGGAGTTGTTCACAAAGAGTTTCAGTCACATAATGTTCCAACACCTGTCCCTTCACCAGTGTATTTTGTACATTTTGAAGAGTCTTCTTTGTTTCTTTTATTTTGGTTTTTTTTTTTTTTTTTAAGGAGTGAGGTCAGCACACCCCACAGTGCTTAGGGCCTGCTGGTTATCTTCAGGGATACTTGGGAGACCATGTGGCACAGGGCTCCTGCATGAAAAGCCTGCACTCCACCACCTTTATTTATTTATTTATTTATTTATTTGCCTTTTGGGGTCACACCAGTGATGATCAAGGGTTACTCCTGGTTCTGCACTCAGGAATTACTCCTGGCAGACTCCACCCCCTTTGAGCTGACTCTGGCCCTGAAGTTACTTAGCGCTTCTTACCACCAGGCTGATGGGTATCTCCACATTGAATCAGTCCCCTAAAAGGAGCTCTTTCTACCACCTCTACCTTCCAACATCTGGCTGGCAGGAGCTGAGCCCTGAGCCCTGTCCTGAGTCTGAGTGTTTCTTGGCCTGGCTCTTGTTGATTTTGCCTGGGGTGTCTCATGCGCCTCCCCTGGAACCCAGACAGGCTGAGCTCACAATTTCATGAGCGTGGGAGACAGAACACAGGCATCACCCTCCATGTTCTAGTTAAGTGACTCTGGTAACCCCTGTTTGAGCCTGTTTCTCATCTGCAGAATGGGGTGGTTTTTGAAGCTGATGTTTCTGCTACGTAGGAGATATATGATTCTGAGCCATGGCACTGAGATGTTCAGGGCACTGTGGGTACTCCCCAGACATGTTCTCAAGAACACAGAGAAGGGATGCATGAGCACAGGTGTCATTAGAGAGCACAGGACTAAAGTTCCAGAATTGTCCAGAATTGTCCATCCTTATCATTGTTGTGAGCACCAACGTCAACATGTTCGAATTGTTCCCACGCTTCTAGGAAGAGACTATCCATCCCGCTGTTTGGGATCGACCCTGATAGCTCCCCCAAACTTGTGTTTGGACTCCATTTCTGTCCTCCTCCACCTATTCTTCTCTAGAAAAATGTTTGCAGCATCCACAATTAGGGAAGGTGGGGAGAGCCAGTGGCTGTCTCCAAGCTGTGGCCAAGCGTGGCCGAGCATCAACAGAGCAGGACAAGATCTTCTAGTATGGCCAGTGCCACTGATGACCATGTGCCCTGGGGACAGCCGGTTCCTCTCTCCAAGTCTGTTTCCTCATCTTCTCCCTGGGCACAAAGTCACCCACCTTCATGCATCTGTGGAAGTATTAAAGTGGGCAGCCTGGGGTCTGGGAATGGCAGTGAGTTTTGCATTTCTCGAGGGGTGGGGGGTAAGGAAGTTTGAGGGCCGGTTCTCAGGGAGGGAGGACGCCTGCGATAGCTCAGTGCAGGGACGTGACTGCCGCGGTCTTTTGCAGGTTTGCTCCCTAGAATGCCAGGCTGCCCTGCTGCCTGCCAAGGAGTGGGAAAGATGCCAGAGCCTCCAGCCTTTGCTCACCCCCGACGCCCTTTATCCGAACGGCGAGGAAGGCTCGGAGACCCGTGCAAAGCCAAAGCCCTACAGTGAGCTGGTCACTGGCCCCGAGTATTACCTGAAGGATATGAAGAACATCCGAATCGTGCTGGAAGCCCCGAAGGAGAAGCGTGCTGTGGGCAGGCAGAGGGTGAGTGGACCCAACTCTCTGCCAGTGTACATCCAGCCCGAGGATGAATACCTGGAGGCGATGGCAGCGGCGGAGGCCGCCTCGGAGGAGAACCCCAAGGAGCAGTTCAAACGCTATGGGGGCTTCTTACGCAAATACCCCAAGAGGAGCTCAGAGGTGGCGGAGGAGGCGGATGGAGAGAAGGAGGGCCACGAGGACCTGTACAAACGCTACGGGGGCTTCTTACGGCGCATCCGTCCCAAGCTCAAGTGGGACAACCAGAAGCGCTACGGCGGCTTTCTCCGGCGCCAGTTCAAGGTGGTAACTCGGTCGCAGGAAGACCCCAATGCCTACTCTGGAGAGCTCTTGGATGCCTAAGCACCTCCCCCACCCGAGGTGGAGTCAGGAGATCCTGGGTTTGCCCTCCCCTTGTGCTCTGTCCCCATGCTCAGATGCGCACGCACGGTCTGCAAATTTCTAAGCCTAACCTGCCTGTCTTCTGCTTGTGGGGCGGCGATTGGCTGGGATCTGCGAGGGGCGGGACGGAGGGTCCTTCTCCAATAGGCGTAGCTCTTGCCTCCCTAGATCTCTCCAAGTCCCTCCCTCTGTTCGCCTGACTCTCCAATTCCATGACTCTGGACAGGCTGATCCTTCTGCTAGGCCTTTGCCCTTCTCATTCATGCCTTTCTCACAGGAGGAATGAGCAAGCCCTCACCCATACACACGTGTTCTTGCAGACAGTATGTACGTGTGTCATGAGACAACTCCAAGGATAGGAATTTAAGTCACAGTAGATAAATAGAAATTCTAACAGTTTGTTCCCCAGCTTCAAAGGGTCTCATTCTGCAAAACCACTGGGAGACCATACTTTAGTTAAAAGCGAAAGTGCTGCCCTTTGTTGGAGCAGAAGTTCCTGCCTTAGAGAGTTTAGTTGGGTCTGTGGCCAGTCTGTATGCTCTGAGTTCTCATTGTTTAAAAGTGCTCTTTGCAGAAGGACCCAGTTCCTGAACTAGTCCTCTGAGAACACCAGCGCCTCATGGAGAGGGAGTGAAAATCCTTTTCCTGGGGGATTAGAAAGCGTTCTCCTGGATGCCGTTCTCCTTCTGCTCCTTCTGTTCCTTCAGAGAGCAGTTCTCCTTTTGAATGCTGAAATGATCAAGGAGGGAGCTAGGCAGAGCAATTTGTACTGCGCAACGAACTCAAAATGTGGATCAGTTCCCTGAGCTCTCATTAAACTAATTAAACTGATCGGTATCACACTCCTACCCCAGGATGAACTGAAGCTGAGTCAAGTTGATGAGATTAAGCCCAACCAAGTTCTTGAGCAGCTGAATTGGCCGCCAAGAGTCCAAACCATCTGCTCCAACATATGTGTCGGGCATTGGGCAAGGGAATCCAGAAGCAAGAGCGAAAAAGAGAAAAAGGCCCACTCCAAGCCCCATGATGATTCTTTCCTCTTAATGTCTCAAAACAAGAGAGAGGAATGAAATGATTAAGTGCTAGAGGCCAAATGAGCGCTCTCTCTCCCTCTCTCTGTCTTTCTCTCCCTCTTTTTCTCTCTCCCTCTCTTGCGCTCTCTCTCTCTCTCTCTCTCTCACACACACACACATACACACACACACTCACTCACACACTCACTCACATACACCTCAGCATTGATTCAGTTGGTGGATCCAGGAAGTAAGGCTGAAAAAGAAAATGGACTTGAGTTTGGTTACTTTCCTATGATGCAACTGAGCATACTTCCTCTTTATACCCAACACCCAGATCTCATGATGTTCTGAAACATATAGATGGCTTTAGAGTTAATTTGTGTGCTTAAAAAAGACATTTATGCAATTTACTTGTAATTTGCTTAGTCCTTAATAGTCCTGTGTCATTTCCTACTCTTCCAGTATAATAAATTTAAAATAAGACACTAATGACTCTGTGTGTGTGTGTGTGTGTGCGCGCGCGCGTGTGCGCACGCATGAATACATGCATGCAGAAGCACATGTGTCACAGTCTCCAAGACATGGAAAAACTATTTGCAGAACAGTTCTGGAAAATGGGGGGGAAATACTGTCACTGTCACTGTCCTCCCGTTGTTCATCAATTTGCTCGAGTGGGCCCAGTAACATTGTGAGACTTGTTACTGTGTTTGGCATATCAAATACGTCACGGAGAGCTTGCCAGGCTTTGCCGTGTGGGCGAGATACTCTCAGTAGCTTGCTGGGCTCTCCAAGAGGGGTGGAGGAATCGAACTCAGATTGACCGTGTAGGCCGTGTACAAGGCAAACGCCCTACTCACTGTGCTAAAACAACTATACACATATTTGGGTTTGAAAAAAATGTAGACAGAAAAAGCATGAAACACAGAGTTCTAGCCTTAAATGTGGGGTCTGTGTGACCTTCGGTAAATCATTTGACCTGTTTCACCTTTCTCTTCCAGACTAGAAAGACCATTTTTTTTTGTAGGAGTACTGCTATTTATTCAGCCACTGATTAGCTGATTGAATTGTGCGTGAACTCCACCTTACTTTTTTTTTCTTTTTCCAGTTTTTATAATTTTATTTATTGAATCACCGTGAGAGCAGTTACAAAGCTTTTGGGTCTAAGTCTCAGTCATACAATGAAACACCCGTACCTTCACCAGTGCCCATTCTCCACCACCAAAAATCCCAGTATACCCCCATCCCACACCCTCCCCCTGCCTGTGGGGCAGATGATTTCCACATTACTCTCTCTCTCTCTACTTTGATCACATTCAATATTTCGACACCAGGCCCGCTATTATTATTTGAGATTTACCCCAACACTCAGATCTGCTGAAAAGGCAACAGTAGACAATTTGTGTTCTATTGCTGGTTATGACTAACATATGATGTCGTGTGGCTGCAGTAGGGCCATGTGGTTTTGAAATTCTGAAATTTTAACACTTAAATCCGGAGGGATTTCTGCCAAAAGCCACTGGGTTTAGAGATCTGCTCTTGAGTCTCTGGGATCATGGCCGTTGAGCAGCTTGATGAGGAGCCAAAGAGGCCATTCGCGGGCGATGACTTGGGGTCTCGTTGGGGTGGGGAAGACAGGCCCGGCTCCACCTCACCCCCCATCCCGTGAGACCCAACAAGTTTCGTCACTGCGGGCCCAAGCCTGACTGTCCAACGGCCTCTGGAGGATGACAGCCACCAAGTCGCCAAGAGGGAGCAGGCGGAGGGACAGCACCCATTCCCCCCTGGGGTGGCCCGGCGACAGTAACCTACTGCGGGGTCCGGACACATTTCTGACAAAAGCCTCTGGGTTTCGAGATTTGTTTCTGAGTCTCTGGGATCAAGGCTGTTGAGCAGCTTGATGAGGAGCCAGAGAGGCCGTTTGTGGGCGATGACTTGGGGTCTCGTTAGGGTGAGGAGGACAGGCCCGGCTCCACCTCCCTCTCCATCCCGTGAGACCCAACAAGTTTTGTCACTGTGGGCCCAAGCCTGACTGTCCAATGGCCTCTGGAGGATGACAGCCACCAAGTCGCCAAGAGGGAGCAGGCGGAGGGACAACACCCTTTCCTCCCTGGGGTGACCCGGCGACAGTAACGTACTGTGGAGTCCGGATGCATTTCTGCCAAACGCCACTGGGTTTTGAGATTTGTTTCTGAGTCTCTGGGATCATGGCCGTTAAGCAGCTTGATCAGGAGCCAGAGAGGCCATTCATGGGCGATGACTTGGGGTCTCGTTAGGGTGGGGAGGACAAGCCCGGCTCCACCCTCATCCTGTGAGGCCCTGTGTGTCTCATCACTGGGGGTCCAAATGTGACTATCCAGTGGCCTCAGATGGATGGCGGCCACTGGGCCGCCGGGGGAATAGGCCAAGGCACGAAACCAATTCCCACCTGGGTTGGCCCGCACTGGTAGCCTACTGCAGAGACCAGAAGCATTTCTATCTAAAGCCACTGGGTTCTGAGATTCGTTTCTGAGTCTCTGGGATCATGTCCATCAAGCAGTTCAATCAGGAACCAAAGAGGCCTTGCCTCCAATTATATAGCTGAGCCGGAGGTGGTTTGTGGGTGTGCTTCCCACATACCTAACTTTTGGCCGTTTACTTTCTTGGTAAACTTTGCCCCAAGTTTTTGGGGTCTGGCCAAAGGCACAGCAGCAATTTTGGGGTATCTGGAAGTCTGGAGGTGCCATGAGGCTGCTGATGCACTCGCCTCACAGGTACAGATTGACCTGCTGGCGGAACCATACCCCCGTAGAAAGACTATTTTTCTGTTGTTTTTGTTTTGCTTTTAATTTGGGGGCCACAACTGACAGTGCTCAGAGCTTATCCCTGGCTCTGTCCTCAGGGATCACTCCTGGGGATAATATGGGGTTCTAGGGATTGAACCCAGATCATCTGTATACGAGGTAAATGCCTATCTGCAGTACTATCTCTCCATTCCCTGTTGCCTTCTATTACGATTTTTTTGGTCACATCCTCCAGCTGTGCTCAGATCTTACTCTTAGCTCTGTGCTCTCAACTCACTCTTTGTGGTGCTCCGGGACCATATACGGTGCCTGGGGTTAAAGTGGAGTCAGCTACATACAAGGCAAACACCTTAGCTTCTGTATTAACTCTGCAGCCCAGAGGCAGCTTTGTAAGATGGTTGTAAGGTAACGTGATGACATATAAAGGTCCTAGAACACAGGAGCACTCAGGAAACAGGACTTCTTGTCCTACATTGTTTCAAGGGACATTGGCAAAGCTCATGCTTTTAGGGCAGAGATGGTGGTACTGAGAGTGTCTGGTCCCCACATAATTCTCTGGGGCTGTTCCCTGTTCGAGATAACCTTTGCTGCTAGGCAGAGGCGAGGTGTTAGGGAAGAAGAATACTCCAGAAGAATGAACATTATAATGTTGTTAACTCATTTGGCATCCTTTCTTAAACAGCCTGGACGAGATGTCTCACGCAGGCTTGTCTCTTAAGTTCCATCTGGACTTCATGAGAGGCTTCCTGAGTGACCCAGGAAGAGGACCAGGAAGGTCTCAGTCATTCAGCAAAGTCTTAACTGGAAAGTCAATGGTGGGCCTTGGCTGGGTGCTGGGCATAGAGGAAGACAAAATGGACAAAGTCTTAGCAATTAGGGAACTTTAGTGAGATAAAACTGAATGAGAGACTGAAAAACAGAATTTAATGAAACAAAGTTAAAATGTAGATGTAGACAGGCTAAAAATGGTGGTAGTTGTAGTGAAGGAAACAATTAGGGTTCAGGAATAAAAGAAAATAGAGGAAGAATCTCTGTAGGGCAGTTAGGAAATCCTGCTTGAGGAATGGCCATTCAGGATCACCAAAGATCATGTAAGGTTGAAATTACCTTGTCTAATGACTTTATTGGGTTCAGGAATAAAAGAAAATAGAGGAAGAATCTCTGTAGGGCAGTTAGGAAATCCTGCTTGAGGAATGGCCATTCAGGATCACCAAAGATCATGTAAGGTTGAAATTACCTTGTCTAATGACTTTATTGACTTGGATTACCTTGACTTGCATTGACTTGGATTTCACAAAATGGTGCTACGTTTGAATGATACATTGTTGCAAAGTGCCATCTTTATGTTAGGTGAAATGTAGATTTCTGTCACTTTGGATCTAACCCATTGGATCTTCTCTCTGTAAGTCCAAGAACTTCCTAGGGAAAAACTTTGATTCTTGCAAACATGTTGTTGCCATCTCAAATAGGGCAAGGAAACAAAAGTCCAGACCATTTGTTGGCTCATGTCAATGAAGAATGCAAGATATTTAGCTTCACATCAAGGAGATGGAATAAACCTCTTTGTCACTGGACTTTTTCTTTCTCTAGACTTTTTTTCTCCTCTGGATTGCATTTATTCTAACACCCATGTTACAATATGACAGGTAGCAGGCAGGTAGATTAAGTCTAACATGTGGTTTTCATCGCAAATCCCGTACAAAATCATGACTCCTTGGCTCTGAGCTACTGTCAATCATTGTGGACAGATGGACAAGGTGCTTGGAGTGTCAGGACTGAACCTCATAGGAGCCAGTGGAGCCAGAGATGGAGACAGCTCAACTCAAAAACAGTAACCTAGGAGTGGAAAAGGAGAGTGCTTGAGAGTCTTATGAGGAAAATTAGAGCATAATCTCCAAGAGAAGATGGAGCATGTGTCAACCACCGAAGAGTAGAATGTTCTCCAATCTAATAAATTAAGAGGACAGAGTGAGCGGGAACTGGAATAAATCTCAGGGCATATGTGGCCATACTGGTCAGATCTGATTTTAAATAGATTGGAGAAATCTGGTTCTGCATTTCCCCCAATGCTACAAATAATTTTTTTAAGTACCTGGCAGTACAAACAATAGTGTACTTGGAATGAGAACACAGTGTTTTTCTCCCTATTATTTTGTGACCTCTTTTTCAAATGAGAAACACATTCATTTGTTTGTTTTAAAGTATTCCCTGTATGCTACAGATTCTAGAATGCTTTTGCTCTCTACACCTTTTGGGGGGCCTATTTCATATGGTCAATAGAAGGTAAATAGAGCATGGCTAGGGTTCACAGATGCCTCTCTCAGTAGCTCTGTGCAAGCCACTGCACTTCAGTTCTCTTTCTCTCTCTCTCTGTCTGTCTCTCTTGCTAGCTCTTACCCTTCCTTTCTCTCTCTCCCTACCTCTCTTACATACATCCTCCCTCCCTCCCCCCTCCCTCCCTCCGTCCGTCCCTCCCTCCCTTCCTTTCTTCCTTTCTCCATTCCTTCCCTCCTTCCCTCCTTCCTTCCTTCCTTCCTTCCTTCCTTCCTTCCTTCATTCCTTCCTTCCCTCCTTCCTTCCCTCCTTCCTTCTTCCTTCCATCCTTCCTCCCTTCTTTCTTTCCTTCCATCCTTCCTCCCTTCCTTCTTTCCTTCCCCCCTCTCTCCCTTCCTCTCTCCATCTCTCTTTCTTGTGTGTACAGGTGAAGGC